AAAAAAAAAAATACTAGTATAATTCAAAGATTCTGGGGAAAGCTTTTTTCCCCAATATCTCTTTAAGCTCTTAATTAAATCCTCAACCCCAAATTCTTCATCCCAGAGCTTGTCTATATTCACACAGATGGTATCAATATGACTACCTTTAAATTGGAAAAATCATTAAAAGCACTGTATAAATGGCTTTAATAGGATATACCATAGCTGAGAGTAATGCTGAGTTCCTGTAATCCCAGCAGCACTAGGGAGGCTGAGGCAGGAGGATCACTGCAAGTTTAAGGAGCCAGCCTGGGTTACATAATAAATTCAAGATCACCCTGAACTATGCAGTGAGATCTTGTGTGTGTGTCTGTCTGTCTGTGTGTCTGTCTCTGTCTCTCTGTCTCTCTGTCTCTCTCTCTCTCTCACACGCACACACAAATGCATTAAAAAAAGGAAAAATCAAGAGCATGTAGTCTATGGAAACAGAAAAAGAACCCAACTGATATTGAAAATACTTTACTCAAACATACAAAAAGTTAATGAAACCTAGTAAACTAAGCAAATGGCAAGAAATACAGAGAAGTAAAAGTATCTATAAAATCATTAACTCTAGGGCCGGGGAGATGACTCAGTGGAATAAGCGCTTCCCTGGCAAGTGCAAGGTGCTGAGTTCAATCTCCAGTTCCGCAAAAATAAATAAATAAATAAATAAATCATTAACTCTGGTTGATATTACAGCCAAAGAATACCTAGGAAGTAACTACAGGCTTTAAAGGGAAAATGTCTTTCGAGTGCTCAGCCACAAGTATGGAAATCAATGTTTGAGCCAATTCTTAAATGTTTGAGCCAAATCTTAAAAGATCTCATTTTGGGGCTGGGGAGAAGGCTCAGTGGAATAAGCGCTTCCCTGGCAAGCGCAAGGGCCTGAGTTCAATCCCTGGTTCCACAAAAAAAAAAAAAAAAAAAAAAAAAAAAAAAAAAAAAAAAAAAAAAAAAAAAATTAATTTTTTAAATATAAAAAAAAAAAAAAAAAAAAAAATCCCACTTTTAAGACTATAGAACAGCAATGAGAGTGGGGTTCAAGAAAGACTTCTGGAGCTGGCAAGATAGCTAAGCAGACTAACATGCCTGCTTAGGCAAGCGCAGGGACACAGGTTCCATCCCCATGCCACACCAGCCCTGGCCCCAGGGCAGGATGAACCAGCCAGAGTCTGGCACACACCTATAATCCCAGTGGTGAGGAAGCTGAAAGCAGGAGGATCACCATGAGTCGGAGCTGCATAGTGAGACCCTGTAACAACCAAATACATTTAAGAAAAAAAAAAAAAAAAAAGACTTCTAAAGTGTTTGTGGACCGAGTACTGATTTTCTGAGGTTACTCATGTAGTTCAACACTACTCTTCAAGGAATAACACTTTGTGTAGTTCTATATGTGTCCATTATACAGAAAAAGTATGTTCTTTTTAGAGGATGAGAAAAAATTAAAGTGTTCATAATTTTTCTAAGATAGAAAATGAAAATCTAAAAGCATTTTAAAAGTATCACATTAATGAAAAAAAAAAACCTCAAAGAAGGACAACTTACAACTTTGTATGGCTCAGCAAAGAGAGGAGAGCTAGGTGGGAAGGCGTCTTCACCCTGCTGAATTTCCTGATTCCGCCTTTCCCTTTCTTTCATACGCAGCACATTCCGGTCTTCAAGATTCATGTTGCTATGAAGAGAAACACAACCTTTATATCACACAAAATAATGGAAAAATTAAATCTTCTATATTGATTTTGTCAGCTTAATACCTGAGTCAGATCCCTTCCAAGTATTAACAGGCATTAGGGCTGAAGTTGGCTTCTGGTAATGGTTTATCAACTAATACCAACAGAGTTTTCCACAACTATAGACAAAAACTACTAGTTCAGAATACTAGAAGCCACTCCCCAACTGAAACATTTAACAAGGTTTTTTTTGTGGTGTGCAGTACATAAGTATTCTACCACTGAACTATACCACTAGCCCAACCTTATGAACTGTGTGTATATGTGTGTTTGTGTGTGTTTTGGGGGGAATCACTAGGAATTGAAATGAAAGTCTTACCACTGAGCTACACCTCAAGTACCCCTCTTATTTTTGAGACAGGGTCTCCATAAGTTGCCAATAATCCTTCCACCTCTGTCTCAATATTTCATAGGAATGAGTTTATATCAATTTTTTTTTTTTTTTTTTTTGGCGGAACCAGGGATTGAACTCAGGCCCTTGCACTTGCCAGGGAAGCACTTATTCTACTGAGCCATTTCCACAGCCCCAATATATCAATTTTTAAAGTATTCTGCTAGCTAACGGCTAAAAATGTACATTTAGAGGGAAAGTAGTATTTAATGCAAATCTTCAGTATTTCCTATAAGCTCTCCTGAGTCTGTTACAAAAACCTTATTTCTTGCCCTAACAGACACACAAAACTATTTCCACATTTTCACCTTGCTCCCAGGTCCACTTCTCTTTCTCTACTTTGTATCACCCTTGATTTCTTTTTTTTTAAATGTATTTAGCACAGGGTCTACAGGGTCTCACTACACAGATCAGATTCATAGTGATTCTGTTTTCAGCCTCCCAAGAGCAGGGATTACAGGCACGCCACCATGCCCAGTCTCAATCACCATGTAAGTGTGCCCAGGGGTGGGGCTGGCACAACATACGGTGCTAGGAATTTTTTTTTTTTAAAATAAAAGTGGTTTTTGGGGTTTGGGGCCCCCCCCCCCCCCAACCGGGGATTGAACTCAGGTGCTAGGAATTGAACCCCTGTCCCTGAGCTCTGCCTAACCAAATGATTTAATCTGCTAAGCTATCTGGTCAGCCCTCTCTTGATTTCTTTTTGTCCCAAACATCTTTGATAAGCCTCCCTTATGGGAGTTTGACCTCAGCTTTTATGTTACTTTAGTTTCCTCAAAAATTTGTAGTTTTCTCTAAATATATTGTTTCAATCAATAACTCAATAAATGAGGTATTCACTGACAGAAACTAGTATTTTTTTTTTTATGTATTTGGTATAGGGTCGCACTACACAGCTTGGACTCATAATGATCCTCCTGTTTTCAGCCTCCACAGCATTGGGATTACAGGCGTGCACCATCATGCCTGGACTTACTCACTGGCTCAGCATACCTGGGGGTGGGGCAAGCACAACATGTGCTTGCCAAAGCAGGTGCTTAGTGCACTAAGTTATCTCAGTGACCCAGAAACTAGTATTAACATGGATTAGCAATGCAGCTAAGAATTGTATTGAGGGGCTACAACTGTATTGTGTTGTAGAATAAATACAGTAGAACAAACGCTTGCCTGGCAAGCCCAAGGGTTTGCGTTCAATCCCCAGTTCTGGGAAAAAAAAAAAAAAAAAAAAAAATTGCATTGAAAAACTTTTGGGGTAAGGCGAAAATCCAAGTGTCACGTCCACAATCATGAAAATATGAGCGTCATTTCTATAATTACTGTATTTTCAAATAAAGGCAAACAGCTTATTTAGTCATAGCAGCAGACTTTCGGTTAAACAATGGTGAAAAAGTTGTAAATTCCTGAGATGAGGGATTATTATCATCTCCAACATTTTCCTATACACGCAGATTAAACCATATGTCTTGACTGTGCTTTGGGTTTTTTTTTATACATAAGTATAATTTGATTTTTCCTTTTGGCCTGCAGCAGGACTTTTTTTTTTTTTTTTTTTTTAAACACAGTCAAGGAGCTGGGGAGATGGCTCAGTGGAGTAAGCGTTTCCCTGGCAAGCACAAGGGCCTGAATTCAATCCCCAGTTCTGGCAAAAAATAAAAATAAAATCAATTATGATGGGCGTGGTGGCACACATATAATCCCAGCACTTAGGAAGCTGGGGCAGGAGGATCAATTCAACTGTGAGGCCAGTATGGACTACACAGTGAGTTCTAGCCTGAATGACATACTGAAACCCTATCTCAAAAACAAACAAGCAAGGAAACAAAAAGACCAGTCTGAATTAGAGGGAGATACTGTCTCAAAAAGGAGAGAGAAAAAATAAAGATAATGATTTTTTTTTTTTTTTCTGACAGTATCCCTACGTAATTCACACTGGCCCTGAACTCACTGTGTAGCCCAGGCTGGCCTCAAACACATAGCAATCTTCTGGCTTCAGCCTCCAAAGAGTTGGGAATACAGTGTATACCACAAGATAGCCATAATTATAAAGGTAGAATGGGCAGCAACATCAGCAGACCCTATCAGCAATTCACAGTGAAAGCAAACATCCAAAAATAAACTTCCCGATTTGCATAATTTATTAGCATGCAAGTAAATTAAGAATAAAGGGGTGAAGAATGTTTGTTTTCTAAAATCTCCTCCCATGTCCTCTACTCCTTATACTAGGGAGCAAACTCAGGACCTTGGCTTGCCAGGCCGGTGCTTAAGCCGCTGAAGTATCTAAATCCTAGGCCCTAAATGTTTCTAATATATAGTCAAGTGCTTTATTTGATGATATCCTAATAAACTTAGATAACAACATAATCTATTTCAGGTATAATAAGTAATACCTTTGTTTTTTTCTAGTACTCAGCACTCTAAAACCAGAACCACAAAAAGTTATCTAAATCTGCTGGGCATGGTGGTACACACCTGTAACCCCAGGACTCAGGAGGCTGAGGCAGGACTGCTTCAAATTCAAGGCCAGCCTGCACTACATAATGAGACACTGTCTCAAAACAGAAACACAGTACACTTCCTTTTAGGGAATATCTCAAAACATCTAAACTTAAGGTGGGTTGTTTTTGTTTCGTTTTGAGACAGGATCTTGCCACGCAGTTTAGGCTGGCCCTAAACTCTATAAAGAGTGATTGATTCTCCTGCCTCAGCCTCCCAAGGGCTCGGGTTACAAGTGTGTCAACATGCTCAACCTATACTTAATTTTTTTTTCTTTACTTAAATATTTAGAGACTAAAATCAAAGAATATCACAGCACATTTATACTGACTGATAAATTTTTCATTACTAACGAATTTCAATGAAGCTGCCTGAACTGTGGCGCTACCAATCTATTACAAAGTTATGAGTAAGGGGCCAGGGAGACAGCTCTGTGACACAAGCACCTGCCTGGCACACACAAGGTCCTGAGTTGGGGGGGGGGGGCACCAAAAACAAAGTTATAAATCTAAGGGTTGTGCTAACTACCAGTTTCCTTAAGCTGACAAAATTTAAAGCCCAGAAGACCAGGATGGGGAGGCAGGTATCTTAAGGCCCTGGGTTAAGCCCACCACACAAAAAAATAGTAATACAGTATATGACAATGTTATGCATTCAACAGCACTAAAGTAATCATTGAAGAAGTATTTGTATGAGCCAGATATGGTAATGTGCCTGTGGCCCCAGCTACTTTGGGACTGAGGCAGAGTTGTAGGCTTCTTGAGCCTACAAGTTCAATGAAGCTTGGGCTTGACTAAAGAAAAAAATGGAAAGCAACAAGGGAGAAAGGGAGGGAGGGAGAGATGTGGAAAGAGAAGACAGTAAAGGAGAAATTAATTGTATAAAATTCCTTCTCTGATATAATGCTGAAGATACTTTATTTCTTTTTGTGAGCAATGAAAGCCATCCAAATGAAATTTCCTTTTAATAAGGCTGGCAAACAGCTCAAACATAAGTAACTGCTTCTAAAAATATCCCACTTGTAGCTAGCTCTATATTTTTCTGGTGACTTTTTTTTTTTTTTTTTTG